GGCAGGGAGTCGATCGCGTCCGTGGAGCCAAGTTACCCCCAGGAAACCTGAAACTACATACACTCGAGGAAGCATACACGACTGATAATTGGATAGTGAGAATATACAAAGTTAAACCATTAGATAACCTTGGCAGGACTTTACAACAGGCTGCTGCGTTTGGGGAGGGAAAGAAAAGAAGAGCAAAGAGCAAAAGACGAAGCGGGAATAATTAATTATTATTCTGAGGAGCCCTAAACACAATTGTGATTACTGCAAATGGCGAAAGTCTGTTTACAATTTATGAATCAAACCAAAAATAGAATTTGTATATTTGTACTTTTGGTCTTTGAGACTTATTTAATTGTGCGCAGATTAAAGTTTATCCTTGTGCGTCCCTTCAATTAGAACGTTTGCGATTGCATATTCTCCATCGTGAGAAACTGACAGATGGATCGCTGTCATGCCAACATGCTTGCGCACATTTTCGTCAACCATCAGATGCGGCTTAGCTGTATATGGAACAACAGATATGACGATGTGGTGAGGATGTAATTACTCTGTGGTATTACGCTAAAACTTTTATTGCAAATTACAATAGAACAAAACAGACCGTCGACTTTTTTTATATACACGTCCTTCCAAGTAAGTTTATAATGTGGAAAGAGCGCTTTATAAGCAGACTCTTTGGCACACCATCTGAACAATGGCGATCACACAATTAAATACAATGGAACCGATCGATTCTTTGCCGTGTCTATTCAGTTACCTTACGCCTAAATAATTTATGATCTTGTTTAGCTCCTTTATTTGTTCGATTTCATTCTGTTCCTGTCGCGTTAAAATGCGTCTTGTGAATTGCGAAAGAGAACCCGAGCTTCTCGAGATGATAGATTTGATTCTCGGGAGATGTATGATGTCGGTCCCGATGCCAATGATCATTGTTGACAGGAAAAAAAAAAAAAAGAGTCGATGCAAAAAGTTCAAGAATCGATGACGTCATACAGTACTTTTATTTTCAACGAGCAGTTTATGCATCCCACAACATCCTTTCCCTCCTCCATATCATGTTCGCTTATTATATATGATCCACCACATCGACATTCTGTTGAATAAGTGCTTGATTCTGTTTATTCCACGGGTATAATCAGGTGAGTAATTGTGTAAATGGTAGATTTATTCTGCCTAATGCTAAATGTACTAACCCTCATTAAAATCCATTTCATCCAAGTCTACTTCCGCATTTATAATCTCTTGATTTTCGGCATATTCTGATGCTATGTTTATGATTTACTCGTGTTATTTACATGATCAGATGTTCAACTCGAGAATATAAACACAATGAATGATTCAATTACCAGTGATAAATGCATCATATGCCTTCCTCTTTTCGGGATTCTTGAGTGTCTGCCATGCCTCAACGATTTTGTGAATCATTGGATTATCAACTTTATCCTCATCGTTTGAATTGGTTGTTTCACCTTGTCCAATATTCTGTCTTACTTTATCTGGATGATACTACTCAAAATGGTAAAGGTATATACAAATGTGTGAGACTTATCCCCTGTAATCAGTTACAAGTTAATGAATTAGTTGACTGTTCTTACTAGAAGTAACAACTGTTGATACTTGGACTTGATCTCATTAAACGAGGCTTCTTTGTGAACGCCTAGGATATCGTAATAACTCTCTTTCGGCGCTCTTGACATCGTTCATATTTTGATCATAGAGACTGCGACTATTATCAATTTCCGATCACGTGAACAAGATTTCTGCCAACGATTTGGTTTTTGTTAGCGCATATCAATCAATCGTTTTTGTCGCTATCTTGTACGCTACATGCAAATTTGGCGTCAGGCGCGAAGAGATGTTGAAAAGAAGGAAACAAAATCAAACTCTTTCCCCAAGTGCTTGTAGACCAACCTACAATCATAATCGAATTCGCTGTTACTACGGTCTCTTGGCTTTGTTGAATGGAAATCTGTAATTTATTATTTTGGTTGGTAATCTCTGGCTTTAGGTATTACCAGGTAGAATCGAATCTTTCAAGTTAGCTTTGATCTGCAAATTCCGGGGAAATGAATCAACATCTTAATTTTGATCAAGCACCTATAACCAGAGAACGAGTATTATAATGAGCCAGATTACAGTGCAAGATTTCCCATGACTGTCAGTAAGACCAAATCAAGAGACCAAAAGGTCATGAGCAGGCTGCAATAGAACGTCATAGGATTGTGTCAAAAGGTATGCTGAAGCACTGATATATGATAGCAATGAACGGAATAAAAACGTCAATTGTACGCATAAAAGGGAACCCCCAAGGCTAGTTACGCACATCTTAATATCGACCGTTTTGGTTGATAGTACAACAATGTATTGGTTGAAGTATTGAACATGTGATTCTTGAGATTATCAATATCTATTAAAAAGTCACCGCTGCCGATCATCTTTAAATGTATTAGTTTATCTAAGGCTTCTGGGCACCACTCTATGGCTACGAGTCTTAACGTACGTTGGTTGTATTTCATCAACGTCCTGAGAGCAACTGGCTCTCGATGTCTGGGTTATCCCAATATCACTATCTCTATCAGAAGTCGACATGACCTCGTCAAAATTAGATGATTCAATAGGATGTGAATATATAACAGATTGATCACCAGAGGACCAGTTCATGACATTTGGCCTCTGATGCAAATGAGTAAATAAGCACAGAATACCAAGATGAAACCTACACATGAATGCGGCAATTGCATATTCAATTAAGACGTTTTAACTATACTTACGATACCCTGACTGTCCTGCAATGGACTATCTCTCGACGCATAGCTCAGTGTGAGAAACTTCCTCGGCTTGGGAGAATATCCTAACCTTTCGTATTCTTCGGGAAATGCGTTACGATATCTATTATGTAATATTATTATCAATTGATTAGACGTTATATACATGGCAAGTTAGACAGTTCACAGCCCAAATTGCGATTGGGCAGCAAACACACCGATCGCGAAGATCAGTACTCTTTCTGTGACTCAAACCAAGTTCCCGATCCTTCATAATCTTCGCCCACGCTACGCCATACTGCGAAAAAGTTACGACTGCCATTAATATCTTGTCCGAAACACAAAGTTATTACACAGACAGAGAACACTCACATGCTCCACGCCTCGCTTTAAAGCAACGTCTTCGTCAGGCCTAAAAGGCCTGCGAGGCCTTCTGCCTTGTACTTTCTCAAAAGGTGTTGATGGCAGAGGTAATGTTCTGCCTTGATATTTCTTGGGTATCGCTGTTTTTTTCGCATCATACAAACGTATGTATTCTTCTGGGAATAAAGTACGAAACCTATATCCATCAAATAAAAAGTCAGAAACTGCGCAGAAACAAGGGAAAAACAAGGCACTGAATTATTGACAAACAAACCTGTCTTTTAGATCAACAGTTGTTCTGTTATTAAACGAATATTTGGGGTCGTTTAATATTGCCCTCCATGCCCCTACACCGTACTGTATAACAAAGCTTTATAGATTTCCAAACGTTTTAGAACAATTCTGCTTTTGTTACCAACCTCGTAACAGCCATTCGTAAGATCGTTAGTCTCTTGTTCCGTCCATCTCTGTCGAGGCTTACGGGATTCTGGTGGAGTGACAGGAGAAACGGACCGTAAACGTGGGCTGCTGTTGTTCGTGCTTTCAGTCATTATTATTTTTCTATTTTACTGTTTTAGGGTTCGCGGAAGGGTTAGGGGAAAAAAGAGAGAGGGAAATATCTCATCTATATAACTCTGATTCGTTGAACATTCGCTGCGGATAAGGCTGCAATTGGTTTATAGGTGTTCTACAAACATATGTCCGAATGTAGTATACCACATGCAAATCACTTGACCAACTTTAAATAGTGATACAGTTTATCCAAATAAGTAAAAAAACATGCACTCGGAACCTTAAAACTTACTGGTTTTGAATTAGCTCATAAAAAAAAGAATCGAAAGAATCGCAGTGCTGGAAGAGAGGGCAGATCCTTTGAAACGAAATCAGCTGAATGTGTGTATTTACTATTTAGTCCTTTTTTTTTGTACAGTCGATTTCAGTTTACTAAGAATAACAATTTACGGAATTACCTATTATTACGTTTATCCTTATTCTTTGTTTGATCTTGACGTGCGTGAATTTTTAAATCCCACGGTCAGTAAATAATGCTGGTCTTTCAGTTCAATAATTGAACACGGTTTGTTTTCGTGTTTGTAAATATTTACGTAAACTGTCGATCACCTACTAACCTTAACCTTTCTAATTCAGCACTCTTTGGGTAAATACCAAAGATAGTATTCGATAAAGACGTTTACTCTGGACATCGATGTGTACGAAAGTGGTGATATCATTATTAGACTCGCCAGTATATAATATACATGAGACACTCTTTTTCTTGAATTTATGATGATCGTGTGTATATGCCGATATAAATGTAAAACTGTATAAAGTTTCAATTTCAACATTTTGTTTACGCTCAAGTTCTGCTATATTAATACCAAAGTAGGACACTCTGGTAATGTTAATGTTCAATCTATTAATATATATCGTTATAACTATAACTGAAAATGAGACATTTGTATTGTGCAGAGTGCGATTGGTGAGATGACTTCTAGAGGAGCAAACATGCTCATGCTGCCCAATACAATTATGTTAATACACCAAATGGCTTTAATTTTATTGAACAAGTTAGGAAAACCTCACAATACGTGTGTATTATCTCTGAAACGTCAATTAAAATTTAATGTTTTCTATTCAAGTCAGAAAATCTCATGGCAGAAGTTTTAGGAGAAAAACTTTAAAGTTGATTGCGTTCGACTTGAACAATCGGCACGCATTACACTTTGTACGAGACGAGAGATTTATGTTTAAACAAGTTATTCGTAAAAAATATTGCATATACACTCAGTGGAAAAAAGTCACCGGACACTTTGTATATTTGAATATTGCTCGGGATAATGTATAATAAAATGACT